GGGTGTGCCCTGACTGGAAATTGAACTAGCGATCGTTGGATGCTCAGGACAACATTCAGCTGACTGAGCCACACTGGCTGAGGCATGGGCTTACTCTTTGTAGGCTCCCCAAGATTCAGTTGCCCCCTACAGCACATGAGAAAAGACTGTCTAGGAAGAGGAGATCAGACTCCATAGTAAGGCTTGAGAAATTCCACTGAAAGGTGAAGTGTTTCTGAGTCAGTCACTAAACCAAAAGCAGTGGCGCACTTCTGAGGTAGGAGATACTAATTCTTACTCAGGGGGCACTCCACTTGTGCTGGAGGAGAGAGCCTCATGGGAAGACATTAACAGCCCATAGGTGATAGAGGTGGAAGTTCCCCCAGTGCCAAGTCTTGACTGGAAAAAAGATCACCCAGGTACCTGACTGTCTTGAACAGGGGAATCTGGATGAGAGATACATTTTCTTTGCTGAGATGCTAAGACTTAATAGAGGGAGAATGTGGCTGCCATATTACTTTCAGATAGAAATGGATTTTTGTCTTTCCTGTCTTTCCCCCTTTTCTCTGCACCCCCCCCCACTATCTCAAAGTAGTCAGCTTTGTGGTATATCTCAGGAAAAGGAGGTGGCAAGTCAGGAAAACAAATACACAGCCAGTCTCTTGCTTTTGTTTTCCAAAAGTATAAGCCTGCCCGGCCAGCGTGGTTCAGTGGTTGAGCCTCAACCTATGAACCAGGAGGTCACAGTTCAATTCCCGGCCAGGGCACATGCCAGGACTGAGGGTTCAATCCCCAGTGTGGGGTGTGCAGGAGGCAGCAGATGAATGATTCTCTCTCATCATTGATGTTTCTATCTCCCCCTTCCTCTCCCTTCCTCTCTGAAATCGATACAAATATATATATTTAAAAGTATAAGCCTTAGGGAAGGGGGATTAGGGTGCAGGGCAGAGACAAAGTATCTGGGCCAGAAAACTAAAAGGAAGAAAGATTTGCAAAGCCTATAAAGAGATTCTTGTCTTTATCACTCCCCTCCCCTTTGAGAAAAGAGGCAGAGAGAGCTCTGTGGGAGCTCAAGTGGCATATACTCCTAAAAGTTACCCTTGGCTGGCAGGAAGACTCAAGAGAGGAAGGGCTGTGGAGAATGTCTAGGTAGTTGGACCAACAGGTGACCTTGGCAATGAGTTCCATACCCTAAGTGTGGTAGAGATGTTAAAGAGGACCACAGCACTTGAAAATACCCATGTGGGCAGAGGGCTCAGCAGTAACTGACAGAATCTAAGGACCTGCAAGTAGATACTTTTTAAAAAATATATATTTTATTGATTTTTTACAGAGAGGAAAGGAGAGGGATAGAGAGTTAGAAACATCGATGAGAGAGAAATATCGATCAGCTGCCTCCTGCACACTCCCTACTGGGGATGTGCCCGTAACCAAGGTACATGCCCTTGACCGGAATCGAACCTGGGACCTTTCAGTCTGCAGGCCGACGCTCTATCCACTGAGCCAAACCAGTTACGGCTGATACTTTTAATCCACCCACATGCCTGAGCACTACATAAGATCCCCCAAATATGGCATCACCTGGGATAAGGGAAATGAACATCAAGAATGACTTACGTTTTTCTTGAAATATTAATGTTTATTGCATGTAAATGGCTAATTATTTTGTATCTACAATTTGGTAATAAATTTATTTTGTATATTGTAAAAATAATAATAATAAAGAATGACTTACATTGTTTTCCCAGTAGCTTAGTCCAAGGAGGGATCAAGGTCACAAACTGAGTTCTAGAAACAGTCACAACTCTACTCACGGCTGCGGTAGTCAGCTAATTGTAAACTTTGAGGCTCATCTTGGTTCTATCTTGGTCGAAGGAGTTACTATCCTGTGTGGTAAGGAAAAGATCAACAGCTAGCAGGGCCATGAAACTACCCCCCATCCCCACTCCTGCAGAATATGGGGTCTAAAAATGGATCCAGTGCCAGGCTGGCATGGCTCAGCAGTTGAGTGTTGACCCAGGAACCAAGAGGTCACAGGTTCAATTCCCGGTCAGGGCACATGCCCGGGTTGCAGGCTCCATCCCCAGTGTGGGGCGTGCAGGAGGCAGCCAATCCATGATTCTCTCTCATCATTGATGTTCCTATCTCTCTCTCCCTCTCCCTTCCTCTCTGAAATCAATAAAAATATATTTTAAAAGAATACATAAAAAATAAAAATGGATCCAGTGAAGGCTTTTGTAATTTCTTGGCACCAGAGCCTTCAGATAAGTTCAAGTCGATTATTGGAAGGATATTTTCCTGGAATAATGTAAAGCCAAATATAACTGGTTAATATAAGTCAAATTTTCTATTTGATGAATAGAAACAGTACACAAATTCCATTTGAGAGTCAGTGGAAACCAGTGGGTAAGAAGGAATGTTCTCTGTTGTATGTTTGTTGTTGACTAGATATAATTGCCCATGCCCTTTTCTGCCTATAGTGGCATTTGTGCTGAGTTATGGACAGGTTGTTTCAAACAGAAGAGCACTTATGTCAATAAAAGGCCTACATTGAGAAGGGCCTTTACTTAGATGGGGAGCAGACTTGTTTGATTTTGTAATTTCTAAAGTTTATAAAAGTCACATGACTTTAGATTTATTTAGTAAATGTTTGACTGTCAAAGAGGGACTTCTTAGATGGGTTCACATCTGAGCAGATTGAGGGGCTCATACTTCCAAGTACTGATCTGTGTTGATTAGATCTTCAGGCTCAGAGACAAAGAAAGGAACCGGTGACACCTGAGGGAGGTACCTGTTGTTTTTCCTAAAGGTAGGCGGTATGTGGTGGTGGTAGTGGGAGTAGAGTGACATTGAAAAATAAAAATGGCGGACAGTTTCTAGTTACCATCTCAGTGGGAATCAGGACCTATAAAGACTTCGAATAACGTGGTAACCTTTGATATTGTCTTTAAGTGGTTATTTGGCTATGCATCCCATTTTCCCCACAGTAGTCAATAATTTAACAGGGAAAAGGGACTATCTTCAGGGGCAAGTGAGTAAAGGATCTGGGGAGACTTCATCCATTCTACAGCTAATTTGGAATGTAGAGACCTCTAAGGTAGGGAGGTGGCACTATCTGGAGAAACTTGTTCTTTCAAATTTATATAGGAAGATCTCCATAGGTGGAATAGCTGGGCCTTATAACCCTGAATTTCATTCCCTCAGTTTCCCTCCATTGTCAAAATTGGGATATGGGGATTTGAATTTATTAAGGGCAAGGTCTGGTTTCCTTGCATGTTCTGGCAATATTGGGATTAAAAAACAACCTTTGAGAGGAAAGGTGCAGAGACAAGACACAGGCCCATCATTCCACTCTATTTGGACTCGAAAGTTACATTTATTGACAGTTTTTTAAAGAGCTGAAAAAGGCTGAGGTTCTGAGGGCTACAGTAGGAAAAGAAAAAAAGTGTTGGAGATAAGAGGTTGGTATAGCTTAGTGATAGGGCCCTTAGGCTGTGCAGTTGAACATATTAGCTCCGCATTTTCCTGCCTCCTGCCCTCAAGGCATCCTAAGGCTTAAGGTGCCTTGAGAAAGCAATCCTGCCCTTAGGAGCTTTCAGTCTAGGTCTGTGCCACCAGACGCACCTTGAGGGGTTGAAAAATGCATTCTACCCCTGAGCACACTTGGGTTCAAGTTCTGACTCCAATATAGTTGTGTGAACTTGAGCAAGTCATGTACATCCCCCCCCCCTCCAGCCTCGGTTTCCTCTTCTGTGGAGCCAGGGTTGTTCATGTAAGAATGAAAGAAACAATTTTGATACAGTGCAAGAAGCAGTTCTTAAACAAAGTAGCTGCCCCGAGGTTAACATGTAGCGAATGCTCTAAGGAGGTAGTATTCATACCAACTAGAGAGGATCTGGGAGGTGGATGGTGGGAGATGGTGAGAGCAAGTCTCAGGGGGGGTGGAATGTGGTCTTTCCGCATGCGCACAGGCTAGGAGCCCTGCGGAGCAGCGAGGGGGCGGGGCCAGGTTCTGAAAAGGTTGCTATGGCACCGTGGGGCCAGGGGAGGTTAACCGAACCCTTAAAACCTTACTCCCTCCCCCACTCGCCACCGCCTGGGCTAAGGGCCATTGTTCCTGGCAAAATGGCGTCGGTAATCCCCCTCCCGGCCTGAGGCCTAAGTAAGGCAGAGGGTGGGAGTGGACCTGAAGGTGGGAACAAAAACTACAATTCCCAGAGTACTCTGCACCTGCCCGCGAGGCGCAGGGCACGTGCCCAGGCCTAGCGGTTACATGCCGTCAAAAATCCCTTTCATAGCTTCTCTTTCCCATCCCAGCTTTTGCTGTTGCTCAGCCCCCGCGCGCGCGCACTGCAGTCACCGGGGGTGGGGGGTACATGCCGTGGCCGTTGCCCTCGCAACGTAACCGGGAGACCGGTATTTGTAAATCTGTGCTTCGACTTCTAATCCCAAAGCCGGCAGGTATGGGTCTCGCGAGAAAAGACGGGAGTTGGAAAAAGGGAGTTAAGGGTGGTAGTTGGAAAGGTGCAGGCGGGTACCACATCTCAGCGGAGCTCCCGCATTTACAGTCATGTGAAAAACCGAGAGTGGATGGAGGGCGGCTAGGAAGTTGTGTGTGCTTGCAATTCTTTTTTTTTTCTCGGAAAGCAGCCGTGCAGAGAGAGCTTTTGAACACCCGGGAGGTGTCACGCGTGGCCCCTCTGAGATTTTTTTCTGGGAGCCTTTCTCCTCGACGCGCATCCCTGTCTCCCGCTGCGCCGAAAAGGGCGGGGGAGGAGCGCGCACTCTCCAGTTGGCCAGCCACTCGGCACCTCGCCGCGTTCGGAGCCGATCGGAGCTGGGGCTGCTCCTTCGGCTTTCTCCGCCCCTCCCCCTCCACTTTCCTCCCCTCCCTTCCCCGCCCCCTCCGCCCCTCTCTCCGCTCCAACTGAATTCCCTGGCTGGAGTACGCGTGCGCTTGCTCAGCTCCCGGGCGAGCGCGAGCTCGGGCTCGCACCCCGCTCTCCGAACCCCGCCCGCTCCATACCTACCGGCGGTAGCTGGCCCGGTGGGGCCTCGCGGGGAGACGCTCGCGCGCGCACGCGCACACGCCGCGGAGCGGAGCGCGAGACACCGAGGAGGGGAGTAAGTAGCATCGGAGGAGGCGTTAGAGGAGGAGGCGGTGTGTGCGTATGTGTATGTTCTATGGTGTGGCTCGTCGAGGGGCGAGCGGAGGCTTGGAAGAGGACGGAGGAGAAGCGCAAAGAGTCAGAGTCTCCATCTGCTAGAACCTCTAATCTGGTGAGGGTCCCGGGCCGGGCAGAGCACTGGGAGAGAGGGAGGAGGCCGGGGGGCGTGTCTGGGATCGGGCTGAGAGATGAATGGGCCGGGGATGAATGGAGGGAGGCAGCGGCGGCCAGGAGTCTGTTAGGAGTAAGCGCCCTAGTGGGGGGCGCGTTGACCGAGGCGAGGTGATTGCCGTCCCCAAGAGGTATGGGACGAGGCCGGGCTCGGATCTTCGGGGTTGTCGGAGCCGTTGTCGGTATGAGCGAATAGGCGGAGAGGAGAATTAAGAGGGTAAAAGTGGGGAAGGGCAGGTCTGAGGTTGAGGTGCGTTTTTTTGTCTTTTTTGTTTTTCTTGGGGGGTGGCAACTTTGGGAGTTGATGGAAGACTAGGGGACGGGGAAGGTGAGGAGGATACACGGTGGGGCGGGAGACGGTTGACAAAGGGACTGAGTGATCATTTAAGTTAGATTGAGGCTACTGAAAGGGAAGATCGCTTCAGGTATGGGAAGTTGGGTTTTAGTGGGCAATGGGGTGGTGGAAAGCGGATTTCATTTCGAGATTCAGTGGATGCGGGCAGGTCGATAGGACTGGATCGGGGTGAGGGATACCGCGGGCTCCTTGTGTAAGTGGGTTCGGTTCAAAGAGATTGAAAGGTGTTACTTGGGACCGGGTGGTGGGTTCTGTAACTGACAGGTTGGGGATGTGGAGGAGACGGTATAATGGGGTTAGGATAAAGTGGCGAGCTGGCTTCACTGTACTGAGAGAGGTTTTGTTTGACTAGTTAAGAGTGGTGAAACATTTATGTAGTGGGGTATGGCTGGAAATCCTGCACGTGTGTCTCCGTGTCTTGGGAGTTGATAGACCTTGTTAAAATGAAATTGAACCCTCAAAACAGATGCGAATGGTATGGCTAGTCCTTCTTAAGAGTTACTGGTGACTGAAGCAGTTATACGAATAATAGCCTTTAAAGTTGTGAAAATGTTCTGTACCATACTGATTGCATCCAATATTGGGAGGCATTGTTACCTGTTTTTTTCATCTCTAGTAAGTTGTAATGCCAAGAGAACTTTTGAAGAGGTCTCAGTATATGACACAGAGCAGCAGGTGTCTTTTAGACAGTCTCTATACTCTGGATTTACCAGTTTAAAAATTGTTTAAAACTCAACAGTGCAAAGGAAAGTTACCTTGCATTAAAGAGTAGCTAAAAGGCACTAAAGCTGATTTTGAGCGCTAAAATACTGTATATATGATTTTTGGTATCATTTTGAATTTACCTTGGTTGCAAAATAGGAACTTGATTTTTTGATGTGAGTTTAAATTACAGAGGATTACTTGAACATTTTGTTCTCGGAATACATTACTTATCTGGTAAGGATGTCTTGTGATGTCTCATTCTGTTCTGGGTCAAGATGAATAGTTTATGGATTTTTAACTTTTCATGATTACTTTTTACAAACTTTACTGACATACATCCATTTATCTTGGAAATGTTGCACATTTGAGAACATTCTTTCATTCTGCTTTGATGTAAATACAATGTTCATACTCTCTTAGGTTAAAATGAATACTACTTACTTATTAAGTGGCAGCCTGGAAATGTTGCACTCACTCTGGCAGGCCAAGGTAGTGTCCCCATTTTGAGCTAGATGTTCCTGGAGTGGAAGAACATTCAAGTATTGAGGCTGGAAAGAATAAGCATTGTATATTTGGGGACTGGAATGAGATAAGGCTAGAATCCTACATTGCGGTCAGGGTGAAGGACTACTCTGAAGAGTTAGGAGCCCTTGACTCTTTAAGAAAGGGAATAACACAAGCAGATTTGTGGTGTTCATCTCACCACCTTTGCTTCTGAGCCTCCCCCGACCCCCTAGTTTGGAATGCTCTCTCTCCCTTTCCCTTTGAATTTGAATTTGAATTCAATAGCTATTTCTGAAAGTCTTTCCTGCTCCCGTCTTTTTTCCTTTTCTCAGCATCCTACACCAAGCTAGGTTAGGTGCCCTTCTTTAGTGGGACCAACCGCCTTGTCCATATTTTTATTACTGTACTTCTGCTGGGAGACAAGCAGGAAAGTTTTCCTTTTTATACCTGAGAGAGAAAATAAAGCTCAGAAAATAAGACTTGTCCTAGTAAAGTAAGTGGTAGACCCTGGAGTGTTGACTTCTAGACCAATGTTGATCCTCATATCACAAGTCTACATTCATCGATATAATTATTATGGAGTGTTTTAGGAGTTAAATTTCTGTAATGTGGACTTTAACTTTCTTCTGTAAAGTAGAGGGATTTCTTTTCATTAAGATGGCCCATCATTTAGCCAGTAAATGATAAAGGCAATGGTTGCAGTGAACCAGAATCAGAAGTAAAGAAAATAGTCATAAGGCCCTGACTGAATAGCTCAGCAGGTTAGAGCATTTTCCCCATATGCCAAGGTTGCAGGTTCAATCCCCTGTCAGGGCACATACAAGAATCAACCAATGAATGTGTAAATAAGTGGAACAACAAATCGATGCTTCTCTCCCTCTCTAAAAATCAATCAATACTTTAAAAAATTTTTAATAAAAAAGAAAGAAAATAGTCAAGTAAAAAAAAGAAAACATATTACTATCAGATTTCTAATCAGATAATTTACATAAAAGTAATGGAGGGCCAAAATTTTTTGCGTTGTATATGTTTGGGGGGGTTGTGTATAAAAAAATTCCTTCCTTTCTCAGTCTCCCATCATAGTATAAGTAGACCAGCTCTATTTGCAGATATACTTTATTGTGTCTGTTGGCTAAAAGCCAGAATACAACAGAAGGGTGGGTCTTTTCCATTTGGTTTGAAATCATAAAATTTATGGTGCTGTTAGGAGATATTTGATGACTGGAAAGGACATCTGTAAGGCATTCTTTCAGAAATTCTCTGGGCTTCAAAAGTAGAATCTGATGCCATTTTTTAATTGTTTTGATTGAGCTTGTCGTGAGATTGCTGGATTTGAAAACATGTTGAGATTAACTTACTACAGAAATGAGCCTTTAATGCCCCTTTTTTTTCAGGATTATATAATTTTTTCATGAACTTTTTTTTTTAAATCCTCACCTGAGGATATGCTTCCATTGATTTTTATTGATTTTATATTTATTTTATACTTTTGTTGATTTCAGAGAGGAAGGGAGAGGGGGAGAGAGAGAGAAATATCAACGAGAGAGAATCATTTGATAGGCTGCTGACTCCTGCACACCCCCTACTGGGGATCGACCCCCCTCCCCCGCATACACACAACCTGGGCACGTGCCCTTGACTTGAATCAAACCCGGGACCCTTCAGTTCCCAGACCAACACTCTATCAAGTAAGCCAAACCAGCTAGGGCATTTTTAGAGACAGAAGAAGGGAGGGAGGGAGAGACGGGCGGGGGAGGTGGGAGAGAGAGAGAGAGGAGAGAAATAATAATAATTGATATGAAACATCAATCCATTGCCTCCCACAGAGGCCCCAACCGGGCATACAACCCGAAGCTTTTTGGTCTGTGGGTTAACCTTTAAACTAACTGAGCCACACTGTCTAGGGTTCGTTTGAAAATAGAAATGAAGCAACATTGTTTCCTGTGTTTTTGCCTGGTAACTTTTTACTGTGATAAAATCCACATAGTATAAAAGTTACCATTTAGAGCGTACAGTCTGTGGCATTAAGTAACTTCATGATGTTGCATATCTAGTTCCAAACGTTTTTATCACTCCAAAAGCAAACCCTGTACCCATTAAGCAGTCACTCCCTGATGCCCTTTTCTCCCAGTCCCAGGCAACCACTAATATGCTATCTCTGTGGATTTGCCTATTCTGGATATTTTGTATAAATGAAATCATATAATACATGGCTTTTTGTGTCTGGCTTCTTTCACTTTGCATGTTTTTGAGAGTGGCATATATCAATACTTCATTCCTTTTTTGTTGAATAATATTGTATTGTATGTGTATACTGCATTTTGCTTATTCATCAGTTCATAGGCATTTGGGGTTTTAACATCTTTTGACTTTTTTTGTTTGTTTCCAAGTATCTTAATTTCAAAGTTTTAAGTTGTTATTTGCATAAAATCATTAAAATACATAGAAATATGTTCTTTTCTTTTTTTGGAAATACGTCATTTTCATTGGATTTTGTATATTTGATTAAAAACTATTATATTTGTTTACTTGTGAATTTAAATATCATATATATATTAAAAATCTTCATTTTTGAAAGTATTACATATGTCCCCCTTTCCCCCCATTGACCTCTCCTAGCCTGCCCCCACCCCCTGCCCCAGGCCTTTACCACCCTACTGTCTGTGTCCATGGGTTATGCATGTATGCATACAAGTTCTTTGGTTGATCTTTTCCCACCCACCCACCTTCCTCCACCTTCCCTCTGAGATTCTGCAGTCTGTTCCATGCTTCTGTGTCCCTGGATCTATTTTGTTCATCAGTTTATTTTGTTCATTAGATTCCATATATGAGTGAGATCATGTGACACTTGTCATTGACTGACTTATTTCACTTAGCATGATAGTCTGCAGGTCCCTCCATGCTGTCACAAAGGATAAGAGATCCTTCTTTTTTAAAATATATTTTTATTGATTTCAGAGAGGAAGGGGGAGGGAGAGATAGAAACATCAATGATGAGAGAAAATGATTGATTGGCTGCCTCCTGCACGCCCCCCACCGGGACCAAGCTTGCAACCCAGGCATGTGTTCTTGACTGGAATCGAACCCAGGACCTTTCAGTCCACAGGCCGACTCTATCCACTGAGCCAAACCAGTCCGAGTGAGATCCTTTTTTACTGCTGCATACTATTCCATGGTGTAGGTGTACCACACCCTTTTTATCCACTCATCTATTGATGGAAAAAACGATTTTATATTATGAATTGTAACCAGATTAGGGAAGCTTTCCGTCAGTTTTTCAGATAGGTTTTAAATTCCTTGCTCTCTCTTTTCTTCTTCTGGCACCCCCCCCCCCATGATGTGAATGATGGTATACTTGAAGTTGTCCCAGAGGTTCC